GCCACGAGGTTCGATAGTGGATGTATGCCTTTTATTCAGCCATTTAAGCTCATTTTAAAAACTCCGACTGAATTTCAAAATAAAATGGGAAAAAAATTCATGTTAGAAAATTTGGCTATACTCCATTAAACACAGTGGAAATGGCGTGGAAACGTAAAACGCAAAGGCCACGAAATGGTCCCAGGTTCGACCAGGGGTTAAGTTTTAGTGATCATTTGGCTTTGGACAGTCTCCTCTTTGTTCTTTCTTTGAGTTTCTAAAAGTAGGATGAGAGGCAGAGCCTTCAGGTATCAGGCCTCACTCCAGCTCTCAGTTTGGATTTGGGAGAGAGATTAGGCTTAAAATTTTACTTTTTCCTAAAGCTCATGTTTTCTCTTTCATAGTTTGTTTTATCTGTGTCTCCCTATCATCTCCTTTTTTCCTTTTCTCTTTTCCCTCCCTGAGCCTGGTTATCCTGGATGTTTCTTCCTGTTGAAAGGGAGTTCTTCCTCCCCACTGTTGCCTAGTCCTAATTATAGGCTTGTTGTTGGTTTTTCATCTAATATTGTAGGATCTTTACTTTACAATATAAAATGCCTTGAGGTTGCTGTAGTTTTGAATTGGTATGAGATGAATTTCTTGAGTCTTGTGGTCTGTGGTCACACCGTTTTACACACTTGTGATAATATTTGTGTTTTTCTGTGTGATTGAGCCGACTGTTTTTTAAACTGGTGTCCAAAAAAGACTCGAGAGTTCTGTTTCCAAGGGTTGGGATGCTGTTGAGATGAGTAGATCCCAACAAACTAAATGCGGGAGTGTGTTTGTAAATAGTAAGTGGACTGCTTCTTATATAGCACTTCACAATTCACACTCTGACGAACGCATCAGAAGCAACCTGGGGGTCAATGTTTTGACCCACGATACTTTGGCATGTAGACTGGAGCAGCCAGCCACTGAACACCCAACCTTTAGTGGACAATCTGCTCCACCTCCTGAGCCTCAGCCAGGGAAAATGTGGATGAACGTGTGTGGGAAGTACTAAAGCTGGGAGGTAGTTAATTTCTTTTTTTTATATTGAACTTATAAAATCATACATACAAAATTTGCAAGAGGTTTAGCAGTAATCATGCAAAGGTCTCAAATACCACCTTTTGGTTCAGCTTTCCAGGGTAATCTGGTGTGATAGTCTTTGTGCACTGATTATTTTACTAATGCAATGACTGTTAATTGTTATGTAAGCTGCTGGTCATCTCTGGGATTCACTAGGGATGCATACACAGATCAGCACATCTCTTTTTGACCTGAGTTCAATTTTATTAATCATTTAAACATTAAACATCAACTAAGCAACTGCAGATTTTACCAGAGAGCTGTTTATTGAAATTCACACATATAATACTACTGTATAACACCAGTGAATAAATAGTTTAAATCATTTGTGATTAAGCACAGAAGATCTAAGACAGGACAATCAGCTGTCTGAAGAACAGCTTGTATTCCCAAACCAAAAGCACAAACTTGAATGAGATCTGTTACATAAGCCTTTTAAACTGAGGACTGAATGAATCTCAAAGATGCAGCCAAGAGTGATAAAGAGGCATGAAACGCACTTACAGTGACAGGAGTAAAATGAAAAATGTAATCAATTAATCATTAGCTCCCAGATGGGCAGCAACATAAAAGCACCTTCGCACTATTTCACACAACTTCATTTACAGCTATTAACCGTTAGAATCATAGGGAAGCATTTAAACAGAAAGCTGTGTTAAAGTTACTGAAAAATAATTCTTTGCAGGTTATTTTCTGTTGAAATTTCTCTTCTATTTCTCCTGGATCACTACTTTATTGGATAAAAGACAGCTTTTTTCACACTCAATGATAATAGTTCTTAACTTGTTTACATATGTCTGAATCTGTATATGTGTTTTGCACTAGCATTAAATGAATGTATCAACAGTTTTTTTAAAAAGGAAAAAAAATCTCTTTTTCTCATACGTAATCCTGGTGAATTTCACATACAAGAACAGTTATTTAATTGCCCATTACTCTGACTCACAACTTCAAAAAGATTCTCATAGGCACTGGAACCTCTGTACACATACAAAACACCATGATGTGTAATGCAACTCTATATCCAGTAAAACTTACAATAAGTGCAAAAGATTTTCTAAGAAGCGGGGGG